TATAATATATTATAATATAATATATTTGTTTATACTTTCATATAAAGTTGTGTTGTTTGTCTTTCGAAGCCGACATTTCCGAGTGCCTGAGGGTAGCAGTCGAGTCCCTCGTGGAAAGAATGAGGTGATTCCAACCGACACTTTCAGAACTGCGCCCTCAACTCTGAGTCCTCCAGGGGCCCGGTCCTCAGCTACAGGTCGGGTTCTCCTTGGGTTTCGGATGTAGGGTTTCTTTTGAGAGAGACCTCCCTCGAAATGGGGTTTGGGGTTTTGGGCAAGTCGAAGGCACATTTCCTGAGCTTTGGAGGGAGTTAGGGCTTCAGGTTTAAGGCTTTAACTCGACATGTAAAATTTAGAGTTTAAGGGTTTTAGGTCCGGAGGTTTCAGGTTTTGGGTCCAAATTTCCGGCTTCGGGATTCTTCGAACTTCTGCATCCTGAGTCCATCTTCGAGAGGCTCCACGCGTGACGGTGCTCAATCCCAAGATCCAAAACCCCTCAGCCCTGAGCCCCTGAATCTCGGAGAGGGAGGCCTCATTTGCAGAAACCTCTCTTGCGGGTTTAGGGCTTCTAGGGTGTAGGATTGTTTCCTTTCTTTTAGGGGTACCAGGCAGTCGCAATAGGCCTGCAGGATTTAGGGTTCGCAGCCCCATCGCTGGGCCGGGCCATTGAGATGCATTTCACAGAGACCTCGTTCAACATAGAGTTCAAATCAGCTGAATTGCACCGGTTGTGGGCCCAAGGACGAGCCAACTCCCATTCTCTCTCTGCCCAGTTTGTCCAGCTTCCGTGCCGTCAGAATTCTACAACATGCATGGCCATGCCTTCCAACACAACAGGGTTGCAGAGCATATGCCTCGTACGACTTGACTAAACCGACGGTCTCGCGGATAGCCGGACAGCGTCTTCTGGGGTGGTCTCCCCCATCGGCTGTCGACCGATGTCGTTCAAAGAGCGGCGACTAGCGCCCTTGCCGATGACGTTCCTGCACATCGAAGAGCCTCGGTGGGACTCCCAAGTCTTCTAAGAGGATTATGGGGTTCAAAGTGGCTTTGCGGGTAGATTACTGCAGACTTTCATCATGCAGGGGCTATGACAGAGGGTATATATTCGTAGGAGGTCAGACCCCAGGTTCCATGCCATGACCGAATAGGTGCCTTTCTGCAAGTAGTTGCTGCTCTGTCAAATCGGCCTGGGGCATTGGTTGTTGCCAGAGTTCACAACACAAAACCGTCGGCCAAGGGTGGCCAAGGGTTGAAGAAATGGTCGGGCCTTCATGGTTTACGGAAAACCCCAAACCCTAAACCGTAATTCTGGCGAAAGATCATCCCCATCTAGCACAGTTGTCGGTAACGTCACTTTCCAACCTCGCTAGTGGGCATAGATCCTCAGCCATGCGAGAGGGAAAAAAACCGTAATTCTGAACTCAACCCTGCAACGCGGGCTCGTCCTTGCTAGGTAGGAGGGAAAAAACCGTAATTCTCAGCGCTGAGAAGCACCAGTGCAGCCGAGGAACCGAAGTTTCTGCCATTACGGCGCTCCAGAAGTTTCACTGGGCTCTTCACCTGGTGGTAGCATTTGGCTTTCCTTGAAGGAGTTATCTGATTATCGATGTTTCTGGACTGTGTATCTATCTATCTACTTATCTGTCTATCTATCTAGATCTATACATATACATATATGTATGTACATGTGGAGAATGTATGTATGTATAGATATATATATATATTGATTGATTGATTGATTGATTGATTGATTGATTGCAGTGGGCAGACTTTATTATTACCATATTCTTTGTCGTTGAGTACCACTTGGCTAGAGTGTTGTTTGCAGGGCAAGAGCTCAAACACGTTTGTTTGTGCTGTTGCAACAATGACCGAGGGTTGCCTGCCTGCATTCGAAGGTTTGCACCATTCTGCTTGAATGGAGCCGCGGATGACGGTTGCTGTGGCCCCAAAGTCGCAGACGACGATTCCTGGGGCGAACAGGGTTCAACACGTGCCTGAGCAGCCATTTCACGGCTACATCGGTTGCCGATAGCCCTGGTTGGAGGATTTTTGCATTCTTTCTTGCACTTGAACTGCTAGCCTCGGGGGACAGGCAGGGGGAGGAGGACCTGACTGTGCGAAGAAGGTCTACCCAGCTCCTGAGCAATGCCATTCGCTGCATGGATTCGAGGAGTACGCAGGCTTCATACACTTGAAGTTTTGATACTGGATTCGGTCGCACGGAATTCTGTATCCACGCTGAATCTCGCCATGCGACTTGGTCCACAACCTATGACAGCTTCTGAGGTGCTGGCACTTCCGTTCTCAGTCCCCCGCCCTCGCCGGATGAAACGGCAGAAGGGACAGAGGAGGACATGCAGGACGGCGAGGAGCCCGTGGTGCCTCTTCCATGGTCTGGGGGGTCACCATTCCCAGGATCGTTCTGCATTGCCATACCTGGCTGTGTGTCGAAATTAATAACCTACATATAGCAAATATAGCACAGAGCCTCAGTGTTCTCTCACCGGACCGATTTTGAGCGATGGAGCTTGTCGTTGCAGGATCAAGCACTGACTTGTTGCTTTGCATCCGAGGTCCTGTGGCCCGACACCGACGAAGATGAGCCGTGGCTTGCCGCGAGTGTTAGAAAGCGCACACCGCCTCGGCAGCAGATTTCTGTGGCGCACATCCCTCCTGTCACTTGCATGATAATGCTGCTTTTGTAGGACAGGGTGGTTTTTTGCGTGCTGTCTCCAAAAGCCTAATGAGGGTCCAATTTAAGCTTTCCAGGCTGAGGGATGCTCAGGGCCTTGGACCGAACTGTCTACGAGCCCCTTCGAGCAGTAATCGCATCGAGCTTCTCAATGCTAAAAGAGGCACACTGGACGCCGATGCGTTGAGGGCTCACAGATAATTTGTCACCCTGCATCTGGCTGGAAGTGAAGAGCGCTGTAGATCCTTATATAGTGTCCTGTTCAAGCAAACCCTGCTACATACATATATATGTATATACACACACAGACACACAGACACACGCACACACAGACAGACACACACACACACACCGCGAACCACTGTGTGTGACGGGGAAGTGTCTGAACATGCCTGAACTTCGATCTGCGTATTGCTGCGGTTGCGAGCATACACCAAACTGCGCGTCTTGCAGGTATGTCTGAACACTCAAGCAATTCAGCATTCCAATAATAGAGAGCGGGATATAGATGAGCTGGCTGAACACAGAGATGCGTTCCAGCTGCATGCGTGCATTCCATGGTCATTTGCATGGAAAGTGCCTACCTGGCATGAATACACGTGCGGGT